TAGGACAAATTTAATAGAAGATGAAGGAGGAAATGCAAAATACAGTAACCATGGGCTTGCTAGAGAAATAATGCTTTACCTACTAGTGAATACAATAAAACACACTATAAAGACTCAAGAAATCAAGCTTTTTCTATCAGTCCCATGAGGAAAGATTGTTAAAAGTTTCTGATTAAGCTGTATATCTTTAAAAGGAGTGAATAAAGGGCTCCTGTCTGTCTTCAACAGTCTCACATCTTGAACATTTTTTCTATCATTTGAATTTGGTGGAAGTCTTAGAAATCTTCCTCAATGTCTGATTGCGTATCTGCAAATCAGTGAGATACAAATAACAAAACCTTGGAGCTAAATTTGCTGCTTAAGAGAGATGTATTCTCATTGCTACTTTAATGAAGGCCCTAGTCTAAGAGTTTGACATTTTTTAACACGGCAATTTGATATTGTAGCTAAATTTATATAAAATTTTAACATGGTGCCACTGGTACTACATGTGCCTCCAAACTTACTCTTCCACATGTTTAAATTAATAAACTTTGAGTCCTCTGAAAAAGCTAATAAATTACATAAAAATCAGAGTTATTTTTCAAAGCTCCCAATTTACAGTGTTTTAGAAATAGACATAGAAATAATTAGAATAGAAATGATTTATGAATTAAAGAATAATTAAATGTGACAATTCATGTGTGTATAGTGCATTAAAATTTATTAATAAAAGTTTTATAGTAATTAATTTTGACCCTTCCCTCATAATGCATGGGTAAATGATTGTGTTTCAAATAAAGAATGTTTTTAAATTAATTCATTCATTAGAAAATTAGACAGAAAATTTGGGAGCTATAGGTGATGTAAGTTAGTTATGATTCTCAAACATCACACAGTTGCCCAAAAAGTGACAAATATTCTTTTCTGAGAAATGTGAAAATTAAGGGTCATATTGCACATTAGAGCATGAGTTAGAAAACTGTATTATACCGGAGTATAGGAACAGAAGACAGGAGGTTGACTCAACAGAGATCTAATGAATAAAACCTATGAGGAAATATGGAATGTTTATTAGTTTGTTTGTATCAACAGACTGAAGTCTGAGTGAGAACATAAGTCATCATATGCATATACATATATAAAATCAATATATACGTAAATGGATTTTAAAAAAAAGGATGAAAAAGAGATATGAATATGGGGACAGGAGGTTCAGCAAGAGCCAGTGTGCACAGGCAGTCAAGAGGGTAAACCGTGTTTTGGAGTACTTTAAAAACAGCACAACTCGAAAGAGGTAGTTCTTCCTCTATATTTAGCATTGTAGTTTTGTGGGGTTTTTTTAATTGTCCTTGAATACTGTGTACAATTCTGGGCTCCACAGTATAAAAATGTTAGGTACTTGAAAGCATCCAGAGGAAGGCAACAAAATTGACAAAGGGCAGGAAGGTATGTCCTAAAAGGATAGGCTAAGGACAACTGAGTTGTCTAGTTTGTAAAACAGAGGGCTAGGAGGTAACCTAATTGTTCTCTTTTACAGGGGAAATGGAGGCGTTATCTGGAAAAAAACAGTTCAAAGGCATTCTTACCAACAGAGGCATTAGGAAGGAGATCATTAAAAACGTGATCAGCAGCTTTTACATTGGAACTTTGAATATTTCATGGTAACATTGTAACACTTATGTTACAAGCAACTGTGCTGATAACCCTTCAAGTCTGGCAGTCTTTATTTTATTATATCTTGCAATATATTTTTTGCCTTGAAAAATGATGATGAGGTTGACAGGTTTTTTTCTACGTCAACCACACAGCTTGGTATCATCCACAAACTTGCTGAGGGTGCACTCGATCTCACTTTTCATGTCATTGATGAATATATATTAAGGAGCATTGGTCATAGTACTGACCCTTGATGGACACTACTTGTCACTGGTTTTCATCCAGACATTGAGCTATTGACTAGCACTACCTGGGAATGATCTTGCAACCAGTTCTTCATCATTGAACAGTCTGTCTGTCAAATCTGTTTCTAATTTAGAGAGAAGGATACTGTGGAAGACCATGTCAAAGGCCTTGCTGAAGTCCAGACAGATGATATCAGTGACTCTTCCCTTGTTCTCTGATGCATTTATGCCCTCAAAGGAAGCAACAAGGTTGTTCAGGCAGAACCTGCACTTGGTGAAGCCATGCTAATTATCCCATATCTCTTCATGGGCCTTAGCATAGCTTTCATGATCTGATCTGATATTTCCTGGCAATGAAGTGAGTCTAGCAGTGTTTCTGTGGGTCATTGGTCATCATTTCTTCTTAAAAGTGGGTATTATGTTACATCTTTTCTAGTCACCAAATACTTCACCTGGCCATGACTTTTCAAATATCATTGAGAGTGACTTGATGACTATATCAGCCAATTCCCTCAGGACTCTGGGATACGTTGGGACACATGGATGATCAGGTTCCTTAGGTGGTTGTGAACCTGATCTTTGCTTACAGCAGGAGAGGCAGTGCTCCACCATTTCTGAATCACATGCTTGAAGTCTCTGTGTATAGCAGTCACTAGTGAAGACTAAGGCAAAAATTTTGTTAAATACCTCAGCCATCTCCTTGTCAGTCATTACTAGCCTACCCATGTTGCCAGCTAGCAAGGTTATGTACTCCTGGACTTTCCTTTTCCAGTTGCTGTACCTATAGAAGACTTTCATATTCTTCTTTGTGCCCCTTACCAAGTCCAATTCCTTGGGGCCTTGGCTGACATGATCCCATCTCCACAAAGCCTAATCTGCACCAGTAGAGGTGACCTGCTGTCATTGTTGCCACTGCTGAAATGAACCACCTGTGCACGCATCACTGTGTTCACATCCACTGTTTGGTCTCCATAAATGTTCAGCAAGCATCAATGAACATCAGTGGGTACCATTTTTTCCACATAGAAGAATTAAATTCCACACCTTTGCTTCATAGGAATTTCCATTTCAGACATCATTTAGTCAGATGCCTGTTACACGGCAACAAAATGTAATGGAATATTGGAGGGAAGGTTCAACCTCTGCTGCCATACCACAAACATCCATCTGCCTCTGACATCATTGGCCACCATAACAAAACAGTAGGCATTACTTTCAGAGCAGTCCTCACACAAAACTACATTTATAATATCCTGGTTTTCTTTCATTACATATGCAAGTGAGAACAGTGGTTCACTTTTAACTTCTTTAAAAAAAAAAAAAGGCTTGTGAAAAAATATGTTCTTAATGAGATAACCATTCTTTGGATTATATTTTTATTTTTAGTATATTTAGTAAGTAATGTGTCCTCCCAAAAATGATGACTAATGATATTTCAAAATATTACAGTAAAATGGTTAGCAAGGTTTGTAAACCATACCATCTGTTAAAGGAGAAAAGAAATTACAGATTGCCTCATAGTAATCCACACTTTGGACCACGTGCTATCAACATATTAACTATTACAGATCGTCTGCATTTTGTTTGATAGTAAGATAATCATTAGAAAGATATGATGCCAAATAATCCAGAATAATTTAAACAGTGATGGTTGTGCAGGAGGTCTTTTGACAAATTTCAGTTTAAAACAATAATAAAAATAAGATTTTTTTGAAAGCATATCTAATGCCAGGTTTCTCCTGTATTCTGTTGAGGTTGTGTACTGTACCTTACCTAACCCCCAACCACATAAGAGAATTCATAAATAAATTCTGCAAGAAAGAGGAAAGATGTGTGTTGATAGACACTTATTGCACCAGGACACTCCATTATTTACTGGCATTTGTTATTGCTTTGCTGACACAACCATTAACTCCATACAAATTATTTTTTCTGGTATTCACAAAGGCTTTATAGATTGACACGTTATCAAGGCTCAGAAGGCTTTTGAATTTGTTTCCTGAATGAGATAAGGATTTAGAGACTTTTAAAAATGATGTGGAAGTAGGAAGGAAAGGTGTAAAAACATTTGTCTTTCCTAACATATGCTACATTTTTAATGCAGTAACTTGTATTTTCTAGTTTTAAAGATTATTTAAAAAAATGCACAGATTGGGATTTATTTTTCTTTGGGTAAATATGCATGTTTTATGATGTGCCAGTCTTTGTTATACATCTTTCATTTTCCATGAGCTTAATTTTATATATATATATATATGTTTTCTCCATTCAGATACTCCCCCTACCTGTCTGGTGTTTTCTGCTCTTCTTCAAATATGCTTCCTAAAGGTGCCTCCATCTTGGCAGTGGGGCCTACCCATGCCCTGCACTGGGGCTGCTGGAGCCAAATGTAACCATCTGTGTGTAGCACATGGTAGCCCTAGCCTCACCTTACACAGGAGATTGCAACCCCACTGCCAGCATGTGTTCACCTGCACCCAGTGGCGGGCAGTGTATCATGTCAGAAATTGAAAACTGTGTTGCAGTTTGCTTTTAATTACGCTTACTTTTCCATCTTTTATTAAGGTATATAGGCCGCATCCTCACCTACCGTAATTAAGTTATACAATTCATGCATGCTGAAAATCTGACTTGCGTGACATGTGTTTGTTATGCCTCAAAGTACTTGTATATATTTTACATCTCCACAGCTGAAAGAATAAGACAACAAAAGAAAGATAATTGATGTACTGCCTCTTATAGTAACATGTCAAGATTCACAAAAAGCATTAAAAAAATTGAAGTGACTCTATTATAAGCAAAATGTGCGAAAATGTGTATGTTATTTGCATAAGGCTATGAATTTCTTGTTACTTTCTGGAAGTACCCCCTGTTTTATTTATTGCTTTATTTCAGGAATAAAGGCATGTATTTGTGTTGTTGGATAAGAAATGTGTGAAATTTAATTCTTTGTTAATAAAATACAGAAGTTCTGACTTCCAGGTTCATCTTTCAGTGAAATACAGATTTAAACATGTCTTGGTTTTAATTAACAGTAAAGGATTGGAAATAATAGTTTCATGTTAAAAGCACACATAAAGAGGAAGAAAATTAAAGATCACCTTGCTTCCTTGGCAGGTTTTTCAGGACAGTACTGTGAAATAGAAATGAATGAATGTGATTCAAGTCCCTGCTTGAATAGTGCTGTCTGTCACAGTGATGTCAATGGATACAACTGTATTTGCCCTGAAGGTAAATTGTTCAAAATAATTTTTTTTTTTCTTTGACAATTCTCAAAATTGCCTGCAGTCTGCAGGACATCTTGACAGTCTTGAAAATCATTGTTAAAATTTCCTGTCTATGAAAGTTAGGTATTCTTTTCTGGTTTAATTTGCATCTTAGTCCTTCAAGGTGACCAATAAAACAGTACGCTCACAATAAATGGAGGCAGATAAATGTGTTGCTTTTATCACATAAAACCTCATAATAATAATAAGTGAACAAGTGAAGAAAACATAAATACATTGCATTTGGAAATCACAGAAAATTGAATCAAGTAGCTTACAAAGAAAATATATTGTACTGATACACTAATTTGCAATTTTCTGACTGAGCCCGGGAAGTAAGTCATAATGGCGAAAATAATGGTTTTGTATCAGTTCTGCAGTGCAAAAATGCTAAAATTGCACAGACAAAAAGAATGATTTTCAGTAGTTTTGGTCTGGTTTTGTAAGAGTGCATATTGCCCGGTAAAATATAAAATATCTGAACAAACAAGAAGTTTCAAGAAAAAAGTAGTTCCAGGAAAAACTGAAAAACTTTAAAACATTTAAAATTACAGTGTCTTTCTGAGATACTTTCAAAAATGAGTTATTGATGAATATTTTAATGTATTTTATAATTGTAATTGTAGTTTAAGAAGAGCAAAAAATCTGTGGCTTACAAATTGCGTTTTAAAATGCCTTATATATGAGTTTAATATCAAACATTAATATTTTATACTTTTGATAGTTAATTGATTCCATGGCATACAGAGTTTTGGATTTTTTTATTTATAAATTAATACAAGCATTCTAGTGGTGGTGATAACTATAGAAATTCTTCACAAAAGACAAAATCGATGCAAATAATTCTTTTAAGTACAGCCTCCATTATTAGTTTAAATTAGAAGCCAAAACAGATATTGGAAGGTAGTTTAAAATTTACTTTGGAAAAGATCATTCTTCTGTTTAGATTGCCTGATCAGCTTACAGAAAAATAAATCTTGGCATCTAAATTAATAACTTTGTGGCTTACTTGTTACCTATGAGACATGGATCTGATTAAACTCTGATTGTAAATGAGAACTGCTTCTGAATACATTATTAATGAACTCAGGATAATTCTAAAGTTTTATGACTTAAGGATCAGTGGAAATTGGTTCCATGGTCAGTTTGAGAAATTATGAGAATATGCCTTGCACTGAGGATGTTGATAGCTTAGCATTAGTCATGGTCTTCCCACAGCCATGGCCTGTGACAGCACTAATGATAGTCATTTTGAAGCATGACCATGAATTAGAATACATTTACAAAACCATAAAATGTCAGATATTGGATGTTCTCTCTCAATTTCAAGTATCAAAAAAACCTTTTGGACTGGCTAGTTGCTAAAAGTCGCTATTACATGAGCAAAAAAAAAGAAAAGAGAAAAATCAGAGAAGCAATTATTTCAGAGTCGATAAATGGAACAGGTGTCCAAATACCAGCACATCTTAAGATCATCTGTACTGTCCTCAAAATCACAAAAGATACACCAGTTATTTAGTCTCTGCTGAACAGAAAGTTCAACTAGATTAATGAAAATACTGAATACTAAGCTTGTTCTTTCAATTACTGATTCTTTTTAAAGCATGTCTAATGGTCAGATGTATTTTTTGTTAATGATAACACAGGATAGGTTTTTAGGGAGATCTTTCAAAAAGACAGATAATGATATTATAGGAGTAAATTGAAAATGATCTATTCTTTAGGAAAAAAATATACCAAAAGATGTGCTTTAGAAAAGAAGGCACACATAGCTGAATAATGTCTAGCTTTTATTTTGTTTTGTTTTGTTTTTCCAACAAAGGATTTGAAGGTCTTCACTGTGAAATCAACTTTGATGAGTGCACTTATGGCTTCTGCAAAAATAATTCAACTTGTTTGGACCTGATTGCAGACTACAGTTGCGTTTGTCCTCCAGGATTCACTGGTAAGATTTATTGTACTTAAGACATTAAGTAGCTAAAAATGAAAAAACAAAAACAAAAAAATAAAAAACAAATTCATGATTGAATTTTGTTTAGTATTTTAGCATTAATAAATAAAAATTCAACTCAGCGTTCTGCACTATTGCTAATCTGCTTTTGCTTCCTTAATAATATGATAAAAAAGTGAAAGCAATGTGTGAGATGTTTGATTAATTGATGGAAAGAAAAACTATATTTTATTGGGATAAAAAGTATTCAGAAAACAAGTAGTCTGTGAAAAACATTATTTAATCTTTTCCTAGGTAAGCAAGAACAGATAAAGCTGGTAGTATTTGTCTCTAGAAGATCATATCACAACCATACTTTTCTTGTGATTCAGATAGAAATGAGAGTACAATTTTAGCAAGAGAACACTTCGCTCTTCAAGAAAGATGCTATTAGATCTTTATGATAAATAGCCTGGGATTTGCACGACTATTTAACAGGTTTAAGAAAATAGCTTTTGCATCAGGAACAGTCTTCATGAACCTACTTGCTGTGACAAGCAGCTAACAGGATCATATGGAAATCAATAAAACTGTCTCAGAATATGCTATCTTAACAACTAATTTCCTGTGATGTCAGGAACTGGAACACGCTGCTTTTCAGGTGCTGCTTTTAGAGACACAAATCAATAGTACGCACAAGAGGTAGTAGGAAGATCCTCTTAGTTGATGAAGGTAAGGCTGTCTACCTGGCCAGAGTAAACTGCGTGAGTTTCGATAGGGCCAAGTGCTGGGTCCTGCATTTTGGTCACAGCAATCCCAGGCAACCCTACAGACTTGGGGAGTAATGGCTGAAAGCTGCCTGATAGAAAGGGACCTTGGTGTACTGATGGGCAGTTGGCTGAATATGAGCCAGCAGTGTGCCCAGGTGGCCAAGAAAGGATTGTATCAGGAATGGTTTGGTGAGCAGGGAAGTAATCCTGCCCCCATACTTGACATTGGTGAGGCCTCACCTTGAGTACTGTGTTCAGTTTTGGGCACCTCAATATAGAAGAGACATTGAGGTGTTGGAGCAGGTCCAAAGAAGGGCAACAAAGCTTGTGAAGGGCTCAGATAATATGCCCTATGAGGAGAGAGTGAAGGAACTGGGGCTGTTAAGTCTGGGGAAGAGGAGGCTGAGGGAAGACCCTATCGCTCTCTTCAAATACTGAAAAGTGATCGCAGTGAGAACAGGGTTGGTCTCTTCTCATTGCTGACAGGTGTCAAGACAAGAGGAAATGGCCTTTCATTGTGCCAGGGGAGGTTTATGTTGGATATCAGGAAAAACTTCTCAGGAAAAAAAGAAGGAGTTGTTAAGCACTGGAATAGGCTCCCCAAGGAGATGGTTGAGTCACTATCTCTGAATGTGTTTAAAATCTGTTCGGATGTGGTGCTCAGGGACATGATTTAGTGGTGGGTTGTTAGAGTTAGGGTAGTATGGTTAAGTTGCAGTTGTACTTGATCTTTAAGTTCTTTTCCAACCTGAGCAATTCTATGATTCTATGATTCTAAGTTTAGCCATGGCATTAAAAATTCACCATTTGCTTAGCAGTCTCAGAAATCCAACAAAGTCAGCAGGAGTCGTATAAGAAACCAAATGTGTGTTCATAGGAAGCTCAAAATCTAAAATAAAAGAGACCAATTATGGAGAAATGGAAGACTAAAGGGATGAGTAGAGTGGTGAAGAATGAGGAGGCAAAATTAAGTTTTAAGTAAGTAAAGCATTTGAGGTTGAGAGTAACACCAACTACATTCAATTTAGGAACATTTCACACTTATTTTAGCAATAGCTAAGAATTGGCAGATGGGACACAAGGAATGTAAGTTGATACACAGAAATTTAGAATCTGTGAAAATGATATTAGTTGCAGTTCCCGAAAATGTCTATGACTTTTCTTGTTTTCTTGATTCTTGCCAACATATTCTACAATAATTCTACATTACAAAACTGTAATGTGCTTTATTTCCTTCTCAATCATAGGGGTTTTTTTGTTTGTTTGTTTGTTTTTTTGCTAACTGCTGTCAGGAGTTTGCATAGTGTATGTCTACATCATGTTCATATCAACAGGAGCATTTTTAGTATGATACTTTTAAAAGTTGAACTTATACAAACTTTTATTAGTATGCTGCAAGGATCAAAATGGAAAAAATAATTTTTCTGTGGCAGCTTTCAACCAGTCAGTTTTAAGTAGAGAATTCAGGAAAACCTGTTCCTATGAAAGTACAGCTACTTTGGGATATAATGGAGTTTACATTAAAGAACTAGAAATATAAAGAGAATTGTAGGTGTCACGAAAACTGCCCAAAACAAGGTAAGTTTTCCTTAGGAAGAACTCTTAATCCTAGATTCATGCATACAGTTTGTTTATAATGTATGCCCATTGGAAGACAAAAAGATTCATGATGAGTGATAAAGCATTAGATTATAGGCAGATTTTAATGTGTACTTTGAGGCTATAGTGAACTCATAAGAGTTCACTGTTACGTAATAGTATATTTTGAAAAGGTCTGTTTTCTACCTTTTCTGTGTAAGAGCTTTCATCATGAATGTGCTTTGGATATCACTTTGTTTTTTTTTCTTTTTTTTTTTTCTGGAGATACAGGACATGAGTTTCCATAAGAAAGCAAATGAGACAGTGCACTGATTGAAATTGGAAGTGGGGATAAGGACTCTCATGATTACAATGAATATTTTCCTCTGTGCTTATGCTGGTTGTGCAATAAATGCACAGTCACCTGTTGTGAATGTCATTAAATCAGATCTCTCCAAGCTTTCTGACAACTGCTTCATCCTTCCTAGAAATAGTCTTTGATGGCAAATACTGAATATTTGATCTTGTATGCTCTAAGAAAAGCAAAACATAGTAGAAGAATGTAATCCACCAATATGAGATTTGATAAGAGATGCACAGATTTTGATACCTTGCAACTAGCTCAATTTTCATCGTTTCCTAACAGTATCATTTATGTCCTATGTACTTCTGAGTTCTAGTACTGATGTAAATGTCCCTAGAAGACATTGCCATAGCAACAGTGGTACATTCAAAATATTTTTTTAAGTGAAAGGAAACATAGTGTACATACAAGAATTTCTGGTTCATTCAGTTAATATTTGACAGTGTAGAAATCCATATTATATAATGGATACAAAAAAACATCCAAATTGTTATACCAAAGAATTTGCTATTATCTACCTGTTTTCTTTCTCATTATTTTCACTCTTCCAGTGTTCCTCTGTATCGTACAGGTGACAGTTTCAATCTTCTCAAGAAACTGGGGAGTTTAGGATTTAGTTATCAGCATCTTGAGACCTCCCACAAGAGGATAGTCATGCTATGGATTTCTTCCTCTTTAGTCTTAAACCCAGTTGGTTTTTTTATACATATGCATTTTTTTCTGCTGGATTGCTGTTTATCTGTTGGTGATTGCTGGTGATGTCACCCCCTCTCCGGAGGGTCATTTCGAGCTGAAGCTACAGCTGGGCAGCAGCAGCCAATGTGCTCCAGCGCAGGGGTTATACCAGCAAATTCCAGCACAGATCAAGGCTAAGTTAGCCACTGTACTATTGTCTCACTCCAATTTATAGGAGGGAGAGGAGGTTCTTTTATTATCTATATACCCGGCATGAGATTAAGAAGCAACGGTTCAAATGTTGGTCCGACCAGTTTATAACAAATCTTAATTAGGGAAATGAGGAAGGGGAGGACGGACACTATTATGAATTAGGGTACTGGGGAAGGGAAGGAGGGCGATAGAAAAGATAGAAAAGAAGAAGCAAGGAGTCTTTATAGGAAGCAAGAGGGACATAGTCACCACCATGGATCCAGCGAGGTTAGTAGTTCCGTCTTTGATCTTCGGTAGTGTGGGTAGTAGGGCATTGTTGTTCTATTGACGACGAAGGATGACCACGACCATGGCGATGATGGCCCTTTTTCAATGCTTCAGGGTGGTTGAGTCAGCTCTCTTTGGAGTGACAGCTCAAACCCAAGGTGGTTGAGTCAGTTCTTGCAGTGGCAGCTTCTGGCTCTGGGATCTCAGCAGGAACCTCCTTTGTTCTTATATTTCTGGCCTTGCCAGCAGATAAGAGGAAGCAGGGAGGCACCAACTTGTATTTTCCCTTCGCAGGATACAGTGGTATCATCCCCCAGCCTCCCATAATAAGCTGGAGCGGTTTAGTCACGGGCCGGATCTTCCGCCAGTGAACACTGCTGAGCACTCTCTTTCGCTCTTCTACAGAGCAAGCAGCTCTGGGGGAAGGGGCTTGCAAATGTTCCCAAAGCGATATCGATTGTCACACAGTTAGCACCCATCAGTTGCCTCCTTGACAAGTCACTCAGAGTCTTATCACAAGAAAAACCTCAGGAAGCAAGCTTTGAGCCAAAAAAAAACAAAGAAGGATTCTCACAACTATACACGTTGGGCTGTAAGGGCAGTGTTGAGTGGGAGGCAGACAGTTGTCTGTCTTGATGGAGCAGGCCTGGATGGAGAGAGTAATTCTCTCCTGCTGAGGAAATCCAGTGGGATAGAAATAATGACTGAACAAACTGAGGTTCCTGGAAGGAGTGGGGAGTCTTTTTGCAGTGTCTGCTTCAAAAAGCAATTTTTATTGTTAAAATGGTAAGCACCTGAGTGCTGGCAGCTTTGCAGCCCATGGTAAAGGGATTCCTTTGAGCAGATAGGCAGGTGAAGTGAAGCAGCTTCTCAGGAAGACAGGGAAAAGCCTTTCCCTCCCCATTAAATCAAACATTGCTCTAAAATGCCCTCTTGTGGGAGTCGACATCCAAGATCACTGTAATTATCCCATAGGAAAGAGGTACTAGACAAAAACTGACAGACGGAGGCAGTGCTGACTTCTTCCCAGGTAATGCTTTGTTACGTTTTATCAGTTACAAGGCTTTCAAGTACCCTTAGTGGTCCAGATAGATAGAGACAGTCCCTGTTTGTTAGGGTGGACAGTCTTGTTAAATTAGAATCATATAATCACAGAATGGCCTGGGTTGGAAGGGACCTCAAGGATATGAATCTCCAACCCCCACTGCCACAGGCAGGGCCAGCAACCTCCACATTTAATACTAGACCAAATTAGAAAAAGATCTGTTCCATTTATCCAGACTAGGTAATTCCAGGAATTATCAGAACCTGAATGTAGTTGAAGTAGGAAATTTCAATACTGAATACCAGGACGCTTGTGGTGCCTAAAGTACCAAGATAGCTTGAATCAAAGCATAATTCACGTGGGCTGGTATGGAATTCCCCAGTGATATAGAAGGAGGAGGCAATTTTGGGGGGTATTGGTTACTAACCCTTTTCAGAATTTGGATGGGTTTCCTTTGGCACTATCAATCCCAGGAAATTAAATAAATAAATAAATAAATAAAATTTGGAAGTCAGTGCCCTGCACAAAAAAAAAAAAACAAAAAACCAAAAAACCACCAAAAACACATGTTTTTTCATCTCAAATAATTGACAGGGTTATTTTTTCCCTTTTACCTTTTTTAAATTTTAGAGATTATAATTAAAATTATTTGAAACTGTGCATATGTCCCACCATGTAGAAATCATTCCTGTGTTAGTAAAGTGACATCAGTGAATATTGTGGAGAAATAACATAACTCCAAAATGGTTTTTATTCCTCTTGCTTGAGTCACTTCAGTATCTTATCACCCAATTAATTTAACCAGATGAGTAGAAACACAGAAATATAGTAGGTTTGTTCAGCTGAATGCCATGAGTTATTGATAAGATATTAAAACTCAAGCACAATTAAACAGTAGTGAAGAAGTCTTGTCATGGTCCTGAATTTGCTAATTATTTTTTCATGCATGCTTTCTGCATGTAGGAATGATTTGGAATAAGTCTGGAATTGTTTTAAATTGTTGGGAAAAGGAATCCAGGAAAGCAAAAAGCTTATGTGAACTGCAAGCTGCTGATCAGAGCAACATGTTCTCTCTTGGAAATGATCATAGAAATAGGTGACACAAATTAGCTGGCTCTGGATTATCACTAATATTTTTTACGTAATACTTTTTACGTAAGTGACTTATTTTAGTCATCACATGTATCCACCAGTCATAGCGCAAAGCAATTGTCATGATTTTGCCAGGTCCTGTTAGTACTTGGCTCTGAATTTTGTTATTATTTATATACAAGAGATTGTTGATCTGACTTCTTCACTTATATCATGGTCCATATGAATGCTTTATGAGTAACATGATCCTGGTTTTAAGTTTTCCACCTCTCTCATTCTTGTTTGTTGTTATAAGAGATAAGATGAAGGGTCAAAATCTAACATCAGTTGAATGTTGGCTTAAATAAGTCTTTAAGCTTTACAAAGCAGAATAAATACATTTAAAGCCTTCTATATCTTTTCTGAAGATCAAATCTATGTATTTTCCTCTGGCATGTCTCATAAAATGAGTTTGAGAAATCCCACAGTGGCTATTGTGGCTGAACAAGTGGTCATTCTAACACTGAACATTTATAAATCAAGATTACAAAATGCAGTGTGGTGCCTTCTAGCTCAACCCTTCCATCACAAGACAAAACTTGACACCTTGTTTGTGCTTTAAATCTTTTCTTGTGCATTTGATTTAAAGTCTTTCTAAGGCTTTCAGTGAGTATGCAAAATCTGTCCTCTTTCAGGCAGTTTTTGGACGTAGAGATTTAGTCAATGTCAGGACATCTGCACAGTTTAAAATCATTGTCTGTTCATCATCTGTTCCACAGTGATCATCTCCAGTTCTGTACTCAAATGATTCAAAGGAAGGATGTCATAAGAAATCTTTCAGTGCTTACCTACATTTCAAGTCACAGATATTCAGCCTCACATTCATCCCATATCAAAAGAAAAACGAAGTACCTCTGTCTTATCTTTAGACTGAGTGCTGGTGTTTTTCTGCTCAAACTAAAACCTGAAGACATACAGCTGCACAAGGATTGTTTTCTTCCCCTGGCCAGCAGAGCTCTGACCCACAGTGGGCTACTAGAATGGGGCTGTGCTGCTGGGCTGCTGGCTTGCAGCAATACCCCAAAAGAGAGGTCACTTAGGGCAAGCTTCCCACAGTCGCGTGTGTAAAACTAACTTTCTGGAAAATAAACACTATGCAAATATGAAAGAATATTCAATATGTATTTCTTTGGTTATTAGAGAACATTTATCATTGCGTCTAATGCATGTACCTGCTTCCCCTGGAAGGAATTCAACTTAGAATGCTGAGTGGAAAAAAAGAGATCAGTTGAGTCTGTTTCATCATGCTGAAAATTACATTACATAGAAATTTTGATAGGCTAATATATATGAAAACCTATTGAATTGCAAGAAAGAAAAACAAATCAATTATAGTTCAGTGGCAATGGTTTTTCCAGTTACCTAAGAAACTAGACAGTTTCTTTTGTATGAAGAATCAAATGGCACATCTCTCCAGTAGTTTCTCATCTGCAAATGCTAAGCATGATTTGTTTGAATTACAAGATGAATAGTAACAGTCAGAAACATCTGAAAAAAAAAAGGTAAGTTCAATCAAAAATGTAATTAGTTTATGTGGGATTTACTTTATCACTGCTCTACTAGATGTGTTCTGTGATTATTTTTTTATTTCATTTTATCCCCTTTATTTTAGATATATATATTTTTTTTCAATAATGATGCCAATTGTCATGTATAAAATAATATAAAATAATATATTTAGAACATAAATCAGTATTTTGGGGGCA